ATTGTTACGAAGGAAAGTAACTATAATGTTTTGAAAGTGTAAAATTGGTATTAATTCGTCAATATAAACAACAAAAAAAGAACTCGATACATACTTTCACTGATAGAACTCACGTTCTTAGAAGTATCACCCGCTAACATTTTGATATCACGAGGGATCACCGTATACGGTAGATTTTTGATCTCGATAAGATTAGTGCTTCTTCCCTTAGACACTAAAATGAATACATTGAATCAAGTTGAAAAGATAAGTTGAAAAGATTATATTAAAACTTTATGCAATTACATAAGATTCCTTCTATTAAGTGAATGCAACTAACCTGGAGGAATACTTGTTCGTAAACCTTCTGGCATCTTTTCCCATTTCTTCGCCATTTCAGAAGGTTTAAAGGGCTTCTGTGGTAATGAATCCCCTCTTAGTTTAGCCGCAAACGAATTTTTTGAAGAGAGAATTGGTGTGATTAAACGGAACCATTTTTGCCTGACGGCGAAAAACGATGCTAGCCCCGGTGAAAGACGAAACATTTCGTCAAAGTGCAAAAGAGGAAACCTCAATTAAATTGAAAAGCCCTGCCAAGGTTAACCTTAGTGTCACTAATATCATATATAGTTGTTAGGTGAAACCTTTTTATGTGAGAACGAAAGTGTTGAAACTCTTGAAAGATAAAAAAAAAAAGCTGGTTTAACGGACATTCGATTCTATTGGCTGATAAAATCTTGAATTGTTTAGTTTTTTTGATTATCGTTATCGTAGGATTAGCTCTAGCACTATCAATTTAAAAAATTTGTTGAGTTAGGTTTCGCTATTATAGCGCTTTGCAAAAAGATGTGGCCCTACGATTTTTGTGATGATGAATGAAATAATTAATACGAATAAGATGATTCGAAGGAGGAAAATTTCCAAGATTCTAAATTGTTTATTAATTTGTATATATAAGTTTTTTATTTAAGTTCTGCTAAAATAAATCTAAAAAAAGCTGCTTATTAAATTATTACAAGATTTTTTAAGAAAAAAATTTTTAGTCTTAGGCCATGCAAAGTTAATTAATTGGTTCTCGTAACCCGGCCGAGTCATATTTGAAATTTTTGTAAAAAATTTTTTTTTATGTTTTACAGCTATTATGAAACACCTGAAAAAAATTAGCCGAATGATTTTTTGGCCGATTCGATTAAGTTAGTGATCTCGGCATAATAGATTCTATAAATTGAAACGATACGTATGTACGCATATGAATTTAAGATCAGATGATAAATATTATACCGATACGAATATCTCAAATCAACATCTTCTCTGGCAAATAATTGAAAAAATTTTTCTTGGAAAGCTTATCATCTCTAAAATTGCAAACACTTTGATATTATTATGTCATTATAAGTCGAATCTTCGAAGATATGAATATGTTGTGCCTCAGATGTAGAGATTAGGCCCGGTATAAAATTTAGCTCCGGGTTACCCGCCCGCTTATTAAACCCTTATCCGGGTAACGACCCGGTTAATCCAGTTGATCCGGTTGACCCGGTTAACCCGGTTAACCCGTTTATGATTATATAAAAATCAGGCTTCACGTGATTGTGTATACAGTAGTCGTTTAAGTAATTCAGCAAAATGCATTTTGATATAATTTTTATTTAAAAAAATGCTGATTACATGTTTGAAATCAAGAAAAAAAAAGAAAAAATCTATATTTAAACAATACTATATAGAAAGTTTAATTCTTTATGTAATACTGATTAATTCGCTATTTCTTTTTAGGAACAATATTTGAGAAACAAGATCTGAACTAAGACAGTGTAATATAGAAAGCTGGCCTTGCTAACTATACTACTTGACTTAACGTGAAGAGGGTAAGAATATGTGTTTACAAAAGGTAAAACTCAAATAAAACTCAAAGGAAACTCAAATATAACTCAAAAGGAATAAACTCAAAAGATATAAACTCAAAAATAACTCAGAATATGGGATAT